AAATTATTCAAGAGTTGAAACTTCTACAATATTGGGAATATTTTATATAATGTATACTACTTTAAACTATCCTCCAAATATATGAAACTGCAGGATTTTTTAAATGCTTAAATCCTAATATTTTTCAAATGTGTCATTATATTTACATTCATATTGAGTATCATTTATTTTATTTTTTATCGTAGTTATCATCGAAATGGCAGCATTTTTTTGTGATTGATTAAACTATGATGAAAATAGTATCGTTGCTAGTTTTTGTAGGAAATATGCACAAGAAAGCAATCGCCAATCGTTTTGGGATGAAAAACGGCAAGAATAAAATGCATAAAGATCACGCGACTCGTGTGAGAGGTACCAAAGCCATACAAGTTGTGTGGGAGATGAACTCAGAGCAGTCTTAGGCTCTGAAGAACCACACGAGTCGTGTGGATATGGTGCACAAGTCACACGACTCGTGTGGAGTGTCCTCGCTGATCACATATTGCTATTTTTGCGTGATTTCTTTTATTTTTCGATGAGAATTTGACCTAAACATTTTACATAAGACTTAGGGAAATTGTCCAAGACAAGTTTTGGAGGTCTTCGAACTCATTTGGATCCTTTGGGTTACGTTACTTTGATGTTGAACCAGCTTGAACGCTTGCTTTGTGTACTTTTTCTTCTTCGAGCTCCGGTAACCTGCAAGACGCCAGGAGGGGTCCCCAATAGAAAACCTCGTACGCTCAAGTCAGAATTTACTCAATGATAATATTTGGAAAATATTCGATTTAAGGAGTAATAATGTGATACATAATGAAGAAAAACCTGACACCCTTATATATGATAGTTTTCTTGATGTCCAAGAGCGAACTTTTCAAGAAAGAGATCCCACCAGATCATATTTCATAACTTATAACTTCTCTATCTGAGGAAGTGATGTTTTCTTTCTTACTGGGATTCTTTTTCCCCTGACTATGTAGCCCTTAGGTCCTCAGGCTATATCCACGACCTTCTGACCTACTTGTTGCGACTTAGTCGAGGTCGAACGTGACCTCTTCCTGAGGTCTAACATGACCTTAGGTTTTACGCCCTCGATATCTTGAGGTCGTTTTATTGTCGAGCTTCTGAAGGTCGGTACTTCCAGGTCATCTTCTTTAGGTCAGTCAGTACCTTAAGATCGAATATGAGCTCCTTGACTGGATTACTAATCTTTGGACAGACTTGAGCCCTCTCAGGCCGGTTGGTCTGAGTTTACAGCTCAAGCTGAGGTGTCGAGCTATTTTAAGTGTTGCATCATCTAGCGTCCCCCTCTCGTCTACGGTAAATTTTTTCTATTCTGGACAGACTGAAACAATTATTTCCCAATGCTCAGATTTGGCAGGTCTTGGCTTATGAAAGCCCTCCCCTTTTCATAAATATCTCTTTATCGATTTTTCGGTGAACTATCATTAGCGAATTCTCGGTACTTTCCATCAACCTTTTCTAAGTCCGACTCATGGGTATGTTCTGATCTTGCTTCCTTCTCTAATCTTTTACTATTTTCTACATTTTTCCTCGAGCCTTACTAAGAACACCCCAACCCCGTTCATTTTCTCTCTTGCGCAGAATTCTTCGTCAACCATGTCTAGCTCTTTTACCACTCTCTCTCAGGTGCAGTTTCTCCATCTGGTTGATAAATTTCCATGCCAAGGAGCCCTTCTGACCCCTCAGCCCAATCACCCGCCTTTTGGGTCACCCAAAAAAATAGTCTGTCTAAAGCATATAGCCGAGTTGCCTTCTTCTTGGGAGCTTAGGGTCCCTGGGGCTTGGGACTCTTATAGCCAACCCCCCGAGGATTTTTACACATTTTTCTGGTACCAAGTCGAGGCAGGTCTCACCTTTCCTTTGAAGAGCGACCTAGTGGAGCTAGCTTACCTCTACCGGGTTTCACTGAATCACATTTCTCCTAAATCCATCCGTTTCAGGGTTGGGTTTATCATTTTGAGTCGATACTTTCTGCAGTTCCCTTGCCCTCAAACTTTAGTTCTATTGCTACTGGTTCAAAGCCCTTAGACAAGTTTTCTACCTCTCCTGCAAAAACAATGCTTTCTTTCTTACGGACCACGCTACCAAAGTTCCCAATTGAAAGTCGAAGTTCTTCTTCATCTGGCCTCTTCCTAATTCCTTTTACATTTTTTTCTCTCTGGCGCTCTGAGAATCCCGACCAGTGTAAGAAACCAAATCCAATCACATAGTATACTGGTCTGATCACCAAATGGAATGAGACCCCTTACAATCTTATTCGTTTGACCAATGATTCTTGACTGAAATCACTATTTGGTCTGCCAAGATTACAGTTTCGACTCGTTACTAACTGAGGTAGCTCTCTTATTTACTTCTCCTTACTTGCCTTTGTTTTTGCTTACCTCGACCATCATACTAATTATTTCCTTTGTTTTCTTTTTTTCTTGCAGATGCTCTACTAAACGCGGCATGGTCGGGCTTGATCTCGATGAACCGACAATTTGGCTGACGTGCGACTGCAACTGAGACCGCTATCGAGGTTGGTGCTGCTGAAGCCAGTGCCGTCGATATTATGACAACGGCTACTGGGACGACTGGTAGTGCAAAACAATTAATGTCCCTTTCATTCATCCAAATAATTTCTGAGGATTTCGAGCTTTGACAAACTGGTACTTCGAGGAAGAGGCCTCGAAGAACAGACCGCTCAAGCTGACTTTTTTTAGATATTCGAACTTGAGCAACCAGCAAGGTTTTCAACCTCAAAGAATGTGGCCGAGCAAGCACCCTACTTACTGTCGATATTTCCCCAAGATGACACCGAGCGTTGGCATGGCCAGAGGGCTTCTCGGGATGTCTTCATCCTGAACTACACTGTCTAGCTATCGAACTTAACCACATCTCTTATTATTTTTTTTTTTAATTATTATTATAGAGAGCTTAATTTATGTTTCTTTTATCATATCATAGGCTCTGTCTGGGATGGCTCTAGCAAGAACCTCGTCGCTGAAGTAGAATACCTGAAGATGGAGCTCAATTTTCATGATGCTATGATTTCTTCCTTGAATGGTAGGCTCAAGGTTGATAGAGCCAAGTTAATCGACATTGAAGAGACGTATGCGGCCGAGAAGGCCAAAATAGAGAAAAAGAGGTTTGAGGCCGCTGAGGCCTTTTGTCTACAGGCCGAGCTGTCCCAACTCACTGCTTCTCTGGTTGGTTGTGAGGCTGCTATCCGTTGGGAGGGCCTCGCCTTCTTTCTGAATTTAGATCGATGAAAGACCTTCTTAGAGCAGTACCAACTGACACCCTTTGACTGCTTAAAAAATTCCAAGCAGTATTTGTGCTAGTTGACACTGGCGACCCAATAATTCCTCGAGATCTGCGTGAAAAATGAAAGGGACCAAGCTGTTACCGGCGGCTACACGGGTGGCTTTGACGATGATGAGCAGTGGACATGTCTCCCCAACCCCGCTGTCTGAGATGACAACCCCGATGAGCCCCGCAAACATCCTTGGTGGGAGCCGTACTTGTCCACCGTTCTATAGCGTTTGAATATTCGAGTTGGCCAAAATTGACGTACTGAAGAGGCGTCTTCTTCGACTCCCCCCTAAGGTTGTTTATTGATGTCATTCTCTGTCTTTTTTATCTTTCTTTGGTATTGTTCTATCCATGTTCGGGCCCTTTGTAATGATTTTTTATTAATAAAGTCTTTTTACCTTACGAGCTTGCTGGTCTTCTTTTGCGCCTTTACTTTACTTGAATTTCATAAGTTTCTGAGCTAAATGTTATAGGACCTTTTATCATCTTTATTGCTTTTACACTATTCATCTTTTGACATTGTGCGAGCTAGACTAGATCTATCTGGAGTAACCTTAGAGCCTTCTCTGAGCTAGGATTACTTGCTACGGGGTAAGAGGCCTTCTAATTGATTAACGAGCTACGTATCCACTCGGAACTGGTGTTATCTTGTGGATCTTTTGAATTTTTGTTTTATTGCTTTAACATAGGCCCTCTGGGATGTGAGCTCGGAGTTCTTAGCTTTTTAACATAGGCCTCCGAGATTGGAGTTCAGCCTAACTAATTTTAAATAGGCCTTCGAGCTGCAAACTCAGATTTCCGCCTAGCTGATTTTACATAGGCCTCTAAGCTGCAAAATTGGAGTTTTGTCTTGTTCCTTGGGTCTTTGAGCTCCTCAGCTTGAAGTTCTACCCCTATACTTTGTACTTTTCAGCCCTCCTAAAAGGTTCCACTGAGTTCTCTTAACCTTTTTAGGATCCCAATACACAAATAATGACTTTTATGTGCAATAATTGAATATATTTAGAACGAAATTAACTGGAATTAAATATATAGCCTTCAGTGGACCTCTAAGCTTACCATATCGGAGTTCTGTCATACTTAATATGCACCAAACATGGTGATAGCTAGTACAAAACATGTACTGCATATGTAAGAAAAAGCTTAGGGGACTTAAGAGTAACACTTCTTGAGGTGTGCCACGTTTCATGGTCTAGGTAGAACGTCTTCTTGCCTATCCCTCAATCTGTAAGCTCCACCTACGAAGAATGTTTCAACTATATAGGGACCTTCCCAGTTGGGCTGTAACTTTCCCACATGCTTGAGTGCGTCTTCTTGTGGCCACACCGGGTCACCGATCTGAAACTTGTAGGCTTGTACCTTCTTATGCGTGGGCCGATCTTGTTCTTTATTTGTAATCTTCTATTCGTATCTTGGTCTGAATCACAGAGTTCATCTACTAGGTCTAGTACCTCCTTCTGCAGCTCGACGTTCTCTTCTCTACATTAAGCGGACACTCTCCCCAAACTTAGGCGTGTCTCAACTAGAATGATGACTTATGTTTTATATACCAAATTAAATGGGGTCTCTCCCATAGAAGCCCGTGGCATCGTTCTGTAAGCCCACAGAATAAGTTCATCAACCCATGCTCCCAGTGCTCCCTCCAGCCGACCTTTGAGTCCGCTCAATACGGATATGTTCGCAACCTCAACCTGCCCATTTGCTTAAGGGTGGGCCACAGAGGCAAAATGTTGCGATATGCCAATGTCTTCACTCCAAGTCGTTATCTTTTGGCCCTTGAATTGGGCTCCATTATCGAACACGAGTACTCTCAAGTACCATACCTGCAACAAATATTCAGGAAAAGAAACTTGATGACCTTTTCTTTAGTGATCCCTGCTAAGAGTTCGGCCTCAATCCACTTGTTGAAATAATTGATTGCGACTAATATGAATTTTCTTTGTCCGCTAGCTTGGGTCAAGGGGCCTAATATGTCTATCCCCCACTTTTCAAAAGGTAACAATAGGGATCATTTCTTTGACGGGTCGGTGAATCAGGGTCCGTGCTATTAGCACTGTAGACATTTGTTTATTAGGTTTCGCGCCATAGCCCTCATCTTGGGCTAGAAGTAGCCTTCCCGTAGTACCTTTCTCATCAGTGCTTTTGCCTTTATTTGATTGCTACACAGTCCTTCGTGAACCTCCCTGAGGACGTACTCTTCTTCTTGGTCAGACATGTAATGTAAATGTGGACCTACATAGGACCTCTTGTATAGTTGGCCACTTTGTAAGAAAAACCTCATAGCTCTCCTTGCTACTGGATCTCCTCGCATGTCCTTGCCTATAACTGGGTTCTACAACCATCTAACCCGTGGCGACTTCCAATCTTCTTGCTCTACGACCTCCATCACCTGATCCAAGATGCTTGAGTGGAATTCTATCAACGTGATTGACCTAGACCTGCAGTCAGCCAACGATTCTGCAATCTTCGATAGTAGGTCAACTCTATCATTTTCTCTTCGAGTTATATGTAACAGCTCCCACATTGGGAACCCTTTGAGCAATGACTATACTTCGGGCATATACTTTTGCATCTCTCGTTTTTAGCTTCGTACTCTTCCTTAACCTACTTGACCACAAGCTGAGAATCTGAGTGAAAAACTACACGTTGATCTCCTTCCATAATGATGACCTGAATTCCCTCCAACAGTGCTTCATATTTCGCCTTATTATTCGAAGTCGTGAATGATAGCTTTACGGCAAACTTGAGGTGATCTTTCTTTGGAGTTATGATCAACGCCCCTACACCTACCCCTCTAATAGTTGAGGAGCCGTCTACATAGACCAACCATTGGCCAACCTTCTTTTCCACCGTACATTCTTGTATGAAACTTGCCAAATCTTGAGCTTTTATAGCTCTTCTGACTTCGAACTTTGTGTTATATTTTGCAAGCTCAACATCACGCTTTAACATCCACCCTGAAGCCGAAGGTCGACTCAGGATATCTTTTAATGCATAATTAGTTTGGACTATGACTTTGTGGGCCAAAACGTAAGGCCTCAACTTTCGTGTCGTTGATAAGTGTCAATACAGTCGTCTCGACCTTTGATTATTTCTGCTCTGTACCTTGCAATATCCTACTGGTATAAATAGATTGGCTTCTGCCGACCTTCATTTTCCAGCAAAACTGAACAAATAGCCATTTTGTGTATCCACAAGTACAGAACGAGCTCGTCTCTAGGCTCTGGCTTTGTAAGCAGCGAAAACTTTGCCAAAAATTCCTTGATCCGTTAAATCTGAGGCGTCCGCACAGATCTGGATCCCTTTCTTAGTGCTTGAAAAAAAAAGAAGGCTATTCTGTGCGGATTGAGCAATAAACCTATTTAGTCCGGCTAGTCGACATGTGAGGACTTGGACTTCTCTTAAATTTTTTGGAGCTTGTATTTCAAGAACCGCTTTGGCCTTCTTTGTGTTGACCTCAATCCCTATTTTTGTGACCATGTAACCCAGAAACTTCCCTGATCTAAATCCGAACTTCCACTTGGTTGGATTCAACTTCATGGCATAGCTTCGTAATGTTTCAAAAATCTTAAGTCAGCGGGGTGGTTTTAAGCTCGTCTACTCTTTACGACTTGCGTTCTTAATCCTAAACGGTATTACCACATAGTAGTATGTTCATTTAGATGTCATGAAACTAACTTGCTTCTGATCCTCTACAGCTAGAGGTATTTGGTGGTACCCTTGTGAGGCATCTATCATGCTGAGAAGCTCGCAGCCTTTGATTCCACCAACTGGTCTATTATAGGTAGCGGATCCTTAGGACACGCCTTATTGAGGTTTCTCGAATCGATGCACATTCTCTCGAATGTGACGGCTAGACGGAGGATGTTGTTAGCCGATGTCGGTGGTGCGCACTGATTGCTGGGCTGTTAACGGACGGGGCCAGATTCATCGAAGACGGGCCCCCGATGTCGGGAGAGGTGACGGCCTGAGAGAGAGAGAGAGAGAGAGAGAGAGAGAGAGAGAGAGCAAGCAACAATGATGAGTTGATGGGATTAGGATGTGGGGTCCATTGATTAGATTAGGTTTATGGATGGAATGTGTAAAATGTCATACAGATACCCTTAATGAATGTATAATATTGACCTTTTTTTCATCTGTTGGATTATTCGATGTAATAGTTATGATGTATTCTTATTTTTGTCACTGAACGTCATTCTCTCCGTAGCGCGACCTTATATATATATATATATATATAGGGGCTGGTTCAAATAAAAACTATGTCTGGTGTGAGAACCGTGAGAACCATATTTGATGCTATTTTTAATTGTGTATGATGCTATTTTTAATATTACATGGTGCTATCATTTTAATAAATGCTAATAAAAATTTTGTTGCTATTTTTAATCAAATACATCCTAGTTAAAAATAGCACTAAAACACAATTAATCATAGCACTACATACAATTAAAAATAGCGGTTCTCACGGTTCTCACACTAGGACTTGGTTCTCATATGAACCACATCCTATATATATATAAAATATTATATTTCACAATATAATTATATTTTTTATTTAAAAATATGACACATTTATCATCAATCAAATTGACTATCAATCAACTTGGATTGAAATTACTATTTCGTTACCATATTATCTCTGAAACTTTACATATTTCAATATTCCGTCTAAAGATTTCAAAGATAATTTATTACAAACAATAATATCCACAATGTACATAAGGCTGACGCACAACATGATTTGTATAATAATAAAATTAAATGTACCCTTATAAATAAAATTGTGGGTGGCTAAGGAGTAGCAAAAGGTGGTCCTAATAAACTGATAATATAAAGAAAGGGGAAAAGGTGTTTTAAGGTATAGTAATAGGAGTATTGTTTTTCAACAAAGCCACCACTAAGATGTGCATGCATTCTTATTCAAGAATGGTATATTTTCTCCTCCCCTTTGGCCCTCTCTATATATATGCATATTAGCCGCTTTGAAGGATCATAAAGCAAATGTCTTGAAACACAAACAGAATTTTACCATTTTTCACTAACTGTTGGCTTCACACATTCACATTCCCCACCCATTCTTCCTTTTACATCTCACTAAATTAAAACTCAATCAAACAAAAAAGTGACCAATTTATAACTACTTGATCACTTTTATTACAAACATCTCGAACTGTCATTGCGCCC